TGTGAATACAGACTTTTAGCTTAGCCTACTGGGTATTTGCTACTAGTATCTATAGCCTAGATTAGGCTCCGAAGAAGAATATGGAGAATGATTTTAAAGGCAATATGCTAATTAATTAAATGTGCTCTTCATCCTCCTACTCACTCCTCGTGGCCAAACTTCCCTATTGATTAATAAAAATGCCTAATTACCCTGTTGTTAATTTTGATAGGTACCAACTTTTATAGCTCTTATTTGATTAGGAAATTTTTTGCAACATTATTTATTCGATCTGTTGATAAGCTGGATATTTATAACCTTCCACGTTAGGCAAGGATATCATTCAATTAATAATTAATGGTCTGCAGCATAAAGCAATTATATCTAGTGAACTAAAGCCGTGACTCATCATTCATTGTCACTCAATTAAAAATAGTTCAGTATTTCACCTCAATTCATCCCATTTTTCTGATGCAAGTATTATTGCCTTAATTATTAATTAAATAATGTTAATATGAAATGTATTCACCCAATTTCGTTTAAGGTGATGAAGGACGCGCACCAGAGGTTTATCATCTATTTCCACTTCCTTACACTGTCTTTTTATCATAATAACGTTAAGATATAATAATACTGAAAAGGCAGACATTTTATTTAATGCTATGTCATTTATAATAAAGAAATGTATATTTGTCTGAGGAACTCACGGCCGTCTTTTCCCTAAAATTAGGTTCACCTTAGGATTAAAATGAAATCGGAGCCTACTTTCTAGAATTCATTCCCATTCCTCACGAGTCTAGACTCAAAAGTATTGAGTAGGCGTGGCTAGCCATATTAATTGGCAGGTTTATCTTCAATCTTTGCTGCTACTATCTTAGACAAGACATTTGACGAAGATTTTCTTGGGCGTGCAAGCCAAAATGTGGCATTTACTTTGATACTTTGCTGATGTGTATTTGGGTAACGGTGTGCTTTTATTAGCATCACTTGTATAACATTTATCCAAGTCATGACAATAAGGGCCACCCGGTTACTAGAACTACATTTCTGGAATTCGTTTGTTTGGATGGCTCTCCTTACTTCTATCATAAACCTTTATCCGCTAATTTCCTAAAGTGTGCTCTATTCTTCAAATGCGCAATATTTTCCGCCTAACAATGTAGGCAGTTAGTCACCAATTTAATCAATCTGATGAAACTTTTCCTCCGTTAAGTAAGATTCTTAAAAATATTAGATCGCTAGCACTACGACAATAAAGCCCAAATCCGTTTGCTTGCTGATTAAGCGAAGGATGATAGTATAAGATTTCAAAAACTTGCACTACACTATACTCAGATTTTTAGGCCAAAGAAGGATAACTAATTACTCACTGAGAGTTCAGTAGCCGTAGCTATCTCATAAAATAATTTGTGATAATTATCGTAAACTTTGTGGTGATAAGGAGTAGAGATACGTCCCATGGGATTGCTCACATGTAGCTTTCTTCAAACACCCTCTTAACTCATCTAACTTGCAGTAATTGGTCATAGCTCCCGCGCTCTGCGAGGGCACATCAGGCTCGATTCCAAGCCGGCGTTTTGCCTCAAGCAGCTGTCTGCGCATAGTCCTGACGCTCGTTATCTCTACGATGTGGAGCTTCTCCACTCTTTTCAGTGCGACATCGTCAATTGCGCCAGTCCCCATCGTGGGTGTGAATCGCGTGGCGGTAGAATGTGCAATTTTTGTGTGCCCTGCTTCCTCCTACCCTCATTCTGCAACCGCGAGGATAAGAGTAGACTTGCAGTAAAGTCACTTTGCTGCTCTGGAACAAGGGTATTGCTGTGAACGCGGATTCACCGATGCATTAATTGGGGACTTTGTTTGGGATATGAAGGTGAAGCGAGCGCGATCCTACTCCATCCGGAGATACAACCGACTTCACCAGATACAAGAGAGGAGGGATTGCATACGAGGAAGGGGCACACAGGAGTGATGGTGCATGGAGATGCGCGCAATAGGCATTCAGGAGGGGCTGTCTCAATTAATAGTCTGACTTATTGCCTTGTGCAGACAGAGACATTTAAAACTGCTAAAAGTAGGTTTAAAATGTTTATAAATTGCCAAAAATTCAAATAAAGAAGTTATTTGACCGTGTTTTCGCAACTTGGTCATATTGGTAGGAAGACTTAGAGGAAAGCACCTTGTCCGGAGTCCATTGTATGCATAATCATTTCCAAAGCCGGACCGTGGACGTGGTACATTCACAGACGTTTCCTCGGCATCGTCAGTGAGTCTCGCCATTCGTAGCACCACATTACAACTCGTCAAAGAAATAAGTGAAGCCGATCCTTTGAACAAATGTGTGCTAAACAATTGTGGTATCTCCCCTTCTGCCTTGACCTATTCACATTCCCTATATCCTCCTATCACGCCTTCTATCTATGATATCAAGTCTATGACTTGTCATATCCTAGCCTCTTGTGTGCCAACCCACAAATGTTGTTGTTCTGCTTGCTTTGGTTTGTTCAATGTTGAACCACAACGTTTGTGGGTTGACAAACAAGAGACTGGGGCATATGAGGTGATAGACTTGGTATCATAGATAGAAAGAGGATAGAAACAGTGAAAGCTAGACTTAGTTGGCTAAGAATAGTCGTGATTCAAGGATTACTTCTATGATCAAACACGACTATTTTAGCCAAATAGCTTAGTCTTCACCGCATCTTTCCTATTTCTATCTGTGATACCATGTCCATCATTTCCTACGTCCTAGTCTCTTGTGTGCCAACCCACAAATGTCGTGGTTCTATTTCTTTTGATTAGGCTTACTGAAGACGTCGCCTCTTGGCTTCTGATTGTTACTTTTTCATCCCCCTGCGATATCTTTTCCTAAAATTAAGAATATTACCTTGATCCAGTCGTCTTCTTTTTGCTGATCTTGCTGTTACCTGGTCTTCTTCGAGTTTGTTTAGGCAATATGCAAAGTTTTCGCTGATCCTGCCTTCTTCATATCTCCTGTTCATTTGATTTTTCTCGGTCAGTGTTTCGATGGCCTCTCGGATCTTTCGTTTTCTTGTATCTCCACCACATGCAGCCAACCTTTCTGTCGATTTCCAGTTGATTTCGTGCCCCGTTCGTGCAATGTGTTCCGC